CGGGAAATAACCATTAGGCCCTCCCTCAAGAAGAGCAGCACAGTACCAGGACCTGCATAAAATATCTAAATCTAAACTGTCACAGGGGGTAAACACAATAAAAACATGCTTTATCTGCAGCATTGCTCATTAAAATGGTACATTACTGATTTATTAAAACTAAATACGATAGGTAGGTACACTTAATGACATTATATAAGCCGCTAGGTATTATGGTTGGCAAGTACTTTTACTTTTAATACTTAAGTAGTTTTAAAAGCTTGTACTTTCTTACTTTTACTTAAGTAAAATAATAATGTGGTACTTTGACTTTTACTTGAGTACATTTTTGTCTGTGTATTTGTACTTTTACTTAAGTACATTGTATGAGTACTTTCTCCACCACTGTCCATGTGTAGCTCCATCAAGCTAATTTAGTTTATGAAAGAGAACTATAGTTGAAACCTCCATAGAATCCAGTGTAGAATCTTCTCTACTGATGCAATATTCTTACCACAAAAGGAGAAACCCAGAAAAAGATCAGACACAGTGATTTATGAACCCTGCTGAGAAATGAGGGATGAGAGATGACTGGAACCTGGCGCAGAAACGTGTTGACCTTAGCTTTTTACCAAAGTTGTGGACGCTGGAAAAAATCGTCTCCACCTGTGGAGATTTTTTTTATTTATTTTCTCCACATTCGCAGGCTTGCTGCAAAATTTGGCGCTTCCACTTCGATGATTAAAGCCGATGTGTCGTCCGTAACTGGGATAACTTTTTATTTGGCCTCTCAGCAGAAACTTTGTCTGAAGCGGACCTATCCAATAACCTCACAGCATCCGGCTCCATCCATTCTGGTGATGAACACAATTATACCGTCCCTTTTTTAAGGCCTTGCTTTGTTTGCTTGTGGTCTAAGATGGCAGTTTTGGTCTGTTACACACTTAAATGACCTCATATATATATATATATACATATATACTGTATATATATTAATTTATATTCTGTGTGGAATTTTGTATATATATTTGAAATTTGAAATGAAATTTATTCGAACATGATACAAATGTAAAAATAAAATAGTGCACAGTAGCAAGACGTGCATCAGAAAGAAGAGAAAATACAGATTTTTAGTTTCAGTTAACATATCATGCTCAAAATATAAATATGTATATATGTATAGACATGTATATATGTATATGCTGTTTTATTTCTGGAGTTAGTAACAAAAATTATTTCCCTCCTGGATTATCAAAGTATTTCTGATTCTGATTCTGATTTCTATAACTTATTTTAGACCTATATATATATATACATATATATATATATATTTTCCCATTTTGTTGCCAAACGCTGATCCGAGCTGACACTTAGCTGCACTCAGCAACAAGATATTTATCTTGTGTTATTTATTTGAGCATCTTTTTAACTACGCTAAACGTTGAATAGATTTTCTTCATTCATTTCACCATTTTTTAAATGTGCATAAAGCAACATGCTGCAATGAGAAGCTCTTAAAACAGTAATAAGAGCATCACTTTAGATTCATCTGCTTTTTTTAATGCCCTGTTACATCACAGAACAACGTCCTGGTTGGCTGGTTAGAAATTTTTAAAAAGGCTGAGAGCATAATAGACCACTGTGGTTTGTATGCCCCAAAAATAGGGAAAAAAAGCGTCCTTACAGTGGTGGGCCGTCAGGGCCTTCAAGGCCTTCTCTGCATGCCTA